CCCTGGCCTGCTTATACACACACACACACACACACACACACAAACATCCTTGCTGCCCCTCCTCTGGTTTTATAGTGCTTTGTGTTTTTCTGATTATTCCCTTGGCATCTATAGAGGGAGCCCAACTAACCTGTTTGAATGAGTTTTATCGTTTTTGTCAGTACTAACACACAAGTCCTCACACACTCCCATTGGTTTCCTCCACTTCCAGCCGTCAACATGCCCAGAGGTGCGTTCAATCTCCCCTCCTAATGAAGCATGAGGCCGAAAGAGGAGTTTCTCCAGGCAGGGGCCGAAAAGAAGGGATGAATGGCTGACAGAGGGGGGCAGTGAAGGAGTGGAGAGGGGGTTGAGCAGGGGCCGTCTTTGATACAGCGCTGGCCCGGGCGGGGGGTAGTGTGTTTTTTAGCCACACACTCCTCTGTCGGTCGCTCGTTTGAAGCGCCTTCACAAAGAGGAGTTTGTGGGCCGGGGGCCAAAAGGGGTTTTGTCATTCACAGAGTCCCTCTCCTCCTCCTCTTTAACCTCTCGCTCATTCTTTCGCTCTTTTGAAATGAGAAATGCTTTATCGGCCAAGAACGCAGCCAATTAATGTTCAACCAACAGGCTGAATTGCTTCAAAACTACACTTAAAAATGATTTTGTGAAGGTGTAAAAGATAATTGGAGTACACTTTATAAAGGAAATACTATTTCAGTCTTTCTTCTTCAAATACCATATTCAATTCAGTGTGTTGCTTCTTGCCATTTCTTTGTAATTTCTTGTGAAATTTACTAGCAATTTCTGAGTGAAAATTCTTTCAAAAGCTATTTTTTTTTCAGCATCACTCTCTCTCAGATTTGATCTAAACCTTTGGAAAGATTAACTACAATCCTCAGAATTAGCTCGTTTGCAGTAGCATTTGGATTGTGTTAGACGAGCGGCAGATGTTAAGACAGTTTTGTTGAGAGAACGTTTTTCAGGGAGTTTTTCTTTCTCCGTTTCTGCCTGCAGGAGTTCAGGAATTCTGTAGCCTATCACACTCCACTTCCCAACTGTTGGATAAACACGATGGCCTTGAGAGCGTGTGTGTGCCGTTTTGGAGGCGTGACGCTTCCATGATCCAAACATCAAAGTGTATCCGTGGAAACTGTGAGGTAGTCTGTAATGCCGCTTACATGGCATGACTTGTTTTTATTCCGTGCCTTTTTTGTGTGTGCTTGCGTGTAGGTGAAAATAAAGTCATTTGGGATGCGTCCTACACATCTGGTGTTAGAGAATATATCATACTGCGGTGGCCCATATTGTAAAAACACTATTTTTGAGATATTTCAGCCTCTAAAAAGACTTTGACAGCTCTCTGGCAACTGACTTCCTCTTCACTTTGTGGAGTCCAGACAACCCGTTGACCTCACTGGCATGCCTTTGTTTGGACGGGGCGTCTGTGTGTTTCTGTTAGCAGACGTTTTTTATTAGAAGGTTACACAAATATATCTACTGTAGGAGCTAAAAGTGCATTTTTTGTTATATTAATTATATTCACAATACTGTTTGGGTATGGTTGTCAGTATGGTTTTTTTTTTTCTGAAAGAAATGAACACTTTTATTCAGGAAGGACACATTAAATTGATCAAAAGTGAAAGTAAAGACATTTATAATGTTACAAAAGACTTCTATTTCAGACAAATGCTGAAACAAACTTTCAATTTATGAAAGTTACATTTTCTGGAAAAATATTAAGCAGCACAACTGTTTTCAACAATAATAAGAAGAAATTTTTCTTGAGCAGCAAATCAGCATATTAGAATGATTTCTGAAGGATCATGTGACACTGAAGACGAGTAAATTCAGCTTTTCCATCAAAGGAATAAATTACATTTGAAAATATATTAAAATAGAATTGAGTTGTTTTAAATTTGAATATTTCACATATTAGAAAACCAGACCTAATTCACAAACCAAACTAATACAAGAACCAATAATATTCAGATACAACACAATTCAACCCAAGTACAAAAATAACAAAATATTAAAGCTCACCGGCTGCTTCTTCAGTTTGTTGTAGTAGGCTTAACTCTGCACAAAATGAATCTTTCCTTTGTTCAAGCCACTGCTACTCTACCTGGAGTCTGTTCTGCCCTACTAATTAATAGATTAGCTTGATTAACTTCACCTGGTGTTCTCTCACTGGTGAATGCTAGTGCACTCTGGCTAATGCACTCTAGTTAGGAGGGGCGGAGCAAGAGCAACCAACAGTTTGCCACAACACTATTTTTACTGTTTTTTGTATTTATATTTAAGCATAGATGGGAAAAACATTTATATTTGACCCTGAGATGCTCAAGGCTCTTAAAGTAGTGTGTAATTGTATTCAATACTTATAAGTATTTAAATAGTTCAGTTAAAAATTGGATTGTTTTACTATTTACTATTGTGTTGGTAGTTTAGCACCATATGCTAACGTCACTCTCTGCTTATGTAGATTGTTGCAGATTATGTTTAAGATGCTGTCTTAAAAGGGAGCTATATAGGAAGTAGACAGTGAGGAGCTTACTAGGTTTTAGAATTGAACTAATATGTGTATGTGTACACATGTATATAGGAGGTTGTGGCTGGTAGCTGCCAGCATTGAAGAGTTGAGGAACAGATTCTTAGACGGTGAGAGAGGGACACACATAACACACATACACACACACGCGCGCGCGCGGTATTTGGACTTTGCTGAAGCATGCCTTTGTAACTGAGGGGGAATACAGCTGTAAAACACAGGCACGGCTCTCCTAGCACAGGTCTGCTCTTGTTTCCTGCTTGATTAACTTCACCTGGTGTTCTCTCACTGGTGAATGCTAGTGCACTCTGGCTAATGCACTCTAGTTAGGAGGGGCGGAGCAAGAGCAACCAACAGTTTGCCACAACACTATTTTTACTGTTTTTTGTATTTATATTTAAGCATAGATGGGAAAAACATTTATATTTGACCCTGAGATGCTCAAGGCTCTTAAAGTAGTGTGTGATAAGATAAAAAAATTCCAGATTGTTCCAACTTGGAAAAATCACATCTGACTGTAGTTTAAAGGGCTCCAGGTGGGTGGATGGTTTGGACTATTTGACCTGTGGTTTGCCGTTTGTCAGCGAGAGTGAGAGAGAGAGGAAAGGCTTTAGAAATAAACCGCAGGACTGGGTGGGTCAGAGAACACACACATACACGCTTGACACATGACACAGGCTCACACACAGGTGAGAACAAGCACACACAGTGCCCGGCTCGGGTGCCGTAATAGTTTAAAAAGAAAGCCTGGCCTACTTTCCACATGCACCGTGACCCAGTTTACATAGATTCAGATGCACGGAGTGGAGTCACAAACCTGTTCCACATCCCTTCTGTGTGTGAGAGAGCTGTTAAAAGACAGCGCATGATCTTCTTACAGTGCTGTAATCTAAAACAGACGCACTTTGGCACACACACTCTCGTACGCTCAGATGTCATAAAGCAAAAGAGAGATCTTCCGATCTAATTCGTTCCCTTCATGTATTCAGGAGTAATGTGTGTGTTTGTGTGTGTGCCTGGGCTTGCACTAACCTGCTCCTGCCAAAAGCAAGAAATGAGGGAGCTGTAAGAAAATGGACTGCCACTGTTTAGTTTCTGAGCACGCACACACGCACGCACACATACACAGTGTTTAGTCTTCTCCAGCAGCTGTGCTATTCTAAGCAACGCAGGCAGGAAGAACAGAGAGAGCAGAAATAGATGGATGATTTTGGGACAGTAATGCCAAACTCCTGTTGTAGTTTTACTGTGCAATACTTCACAGAAATCTACTCTAAACATGCTCTACTATACTCTGACATAACAGTGCCTACCTAACACTCCTCTACTTGCTTCTACTCAACTCAACTCAATTCTATTCCATGATATTGTTCTTTATTTGTTTCTATAGTAAACTTCTTAACTATTCTACTCTACGCAACTCTATTCTATTATATTCTAGTTACTTCTATTCTGTTCTGTTCTGTTCTGCTTTATTCAAAATGTTTCTTCTCCATTTGTTTTATTCTACTCTAATCGAACATATTCTTTTCCAGTCTACTGTACTCAACTTTTATATTTTCTTCTACCCTTTTCTATTCAGTTTAAGTTTACTCTAGTCTCTAGTAAACTATTATTGTTTACTGAACTTTATTCTGTTCTTTTTTATTGAATTATGTTATACTCTAATTCTATGCTATTATATACCAGTCTGTTCTACTCTACTGAAATGTAGGCTATATTATCATAATCTGTTTCACCCATTTTCTATTCAACTCTACTCAATTCTGCTCAATTCCATTTTAGGTGACTTTATTCTATTCTACTATATGTGGTCCTAAAACACTGTTAAGATGTTTATTAATTAGATAATAGATAATAATATATTTTTGTTCACTGAATTCTACTCTATTCAATTATTTTATTATTACGTTTTATATTATATCCACTCTATTTTGCTCTACTGAACTCTACTTTATTCTGTTCTACTGTGTTATATAATATTCTAGTACTTTCATCTCTACTCAGCGTTATTCTACTGTATTTTACTTAACTATATTCTGTTTTGCGTTATTGAATTATGTTCTGTCTCTAACTCTATACTATTATATGCCAACTTTAAATTATTCTGCTTTATTTGTACCATTTTCTACTCTACTAAACTCCATTACATTTTTTTTTTAAATTTACGTTATTCTTCTCTTCTCAACTTTATTCTACTCTGTGAAATTCTGCTGTACTCAACTATACCATATTCTCTTCTACTCAACATTGTTCTACTTTTTTCTGCTCTATGCAACTTTTGCAACCACTCAAGTCCAATGTACTCTACTGTATTTTTCTCAACTCTGTTCTAACCTGTTAAATCTACTGTATACTGTGTTTCTCTTTTGAATATTAATATTATTTTTCCATTAATTTGTCAGTTGATAAATATGCTAATTAATTGTGCAAATTTTCACTTAGTGACCTATCACTTACTCCTACTCCACAGTATCATCATGTATAACCACCTACAAGAAAACTCCGCCCCCAGTCCCGCCCAGGTCAACACCCACCAGACCATACATCTCTATAACAGCCCAGAGCAGCACAGAATCAGCACAAGATGCCTACAATGAGCTCACAGGTTCTGGTCCTGCTAACCGGGCCTTAGCAGCGGTCCAGTCGGGCCTTAGCAACTCCACAGAGAGCATCGATAGCATGAAGGCCCTGACAGCAGCCATCGAGGCAGCGAACGCTCAAGTCCACGGCCCAGCCAGCCAGCATGTGACCAACAGCACCATCACCATCACTACAGCCACCGCCACCACTAGCGTAACGCACATCTCACAGGAAGCTAAGAGAGATGCCCTCAGGAAGTGTCTGTCCATAGGGATACAGGTTGGCCACACACACTCACACATGCACATCAGTGTTGCCTATAGGGTTACAGATTGTTTAAACAATACCAAACTTACAACGAAAACAAGAAACAGAGAATTATATGTGAACTTCACTTCAGTCAATTTACAAGAAAAGAAGTAAACAACAGACATTCATCTACTCATATATGTGGAAAAATAGACTGTGTCTCAAAACCTTCAGAACAACATACTAGTATACTAGTCTTACCATTTCTGCCATAGAAATATATGGCAAAAATAGTAAGATTAGTATGCCAGAATGCTATTCCAAATTCAGCAGGGCATTTTTTATAGTATATAGGCCTACTGTAATTATCGAGTATGCTCTAAGATAGTGTACACTATGTCCAAAAATGCTGGTAAGTTTTGAGACACAACCATTATCAACAGTATATTCTCTGATTATTAAGCAGGCATATATGTAGTATGCACTATGATGCCCAAATATGTTATCTAGGTAGACAGCATAGGTTTTAGGACACAGCCTTTATCTGATTTAGATTTTTGAGTGTGCTTCAATACATTACATGCTATGATGCCCAGAAATGTTTCTAAGCAGTCAGCACATTGAGACACAGCCATTAACAACAACTATAAAACATCTATATAATATACACTGTGATGCTGTCTAGATAGCATACTAGGTTTTACTAGGTAGCATACTAGGTTTTTAGGGGCACAGCCCCTAACATTATCTGCAGTATATTCTCTGATTATTAAGTATGCATCAACGTAGTGTACAATTTGCACATTTTATATCTACATCATTTATTACTAAAATATTCACTACATATTTACAAACAAATTAGATAGGCCAAGACAAACAAATTTGCAGCAACAAATCTGACAACAATAATTCAAAATTTACTTCTGACACACAGACTCCATACTGAATGTGTGTGTGTCTGTGTTTAGGTGGATGGTCCTGAGGAAACCAATCAATCAGAAGTGCACTGCAAGTTTCAGTCCGTCGGCATTCAAGTTGAGGAGGAGAGATGGTAAGTTTATCTACACCCACTCACTCTCTCTCTCACACACACACCCTTGCAGCATATTCCATTACATCTCCATTCTTTAACTCCCAACATGTGCTCATTCAAATAAGATAAAGTCACTCAAAACATTACAGATGTGAGGATAGTGACTATGAAAGTTTCTGAAGAATGGAAGGTGTAATAGAAGAGAGAAAAGAAAGTGAATGAGAGAGAGAGTTGTCAATTCTCAACCCTCTTATTCTCTATTTCACACACACAGCTGTCCCTATCATGGTGGTTTGGACACTGGGGCCTCCTGAAAGGGTAAAGAAGTGGGAGGCAGAGAGACAGCTGCTCTGTGTGTGTATGCGGGTGTGTCTGTGTGTGCGTGCATGGCCATCTGTTGCTGCGCCCATTATGAAGCAGGCAGGCTGCTGGGTCACAGACATGGTCAAGTATCGACCCCCTGTCTCACTTCTCTCTCTCTCTCTTGCTTTCTTTTGCTTTCTCTGATTCACACACCCTCAAATGTCACTGTTTTAGCACCCTGTGAGAGGGAGGGACATAATGACAGGAGGGAGGTAGAGGCCGCTAGAAATCCAGTCTCTGTGTGTTTCCCTAAAATCACCATCTCATAGCCAAAGTGCGGCTCGAGAGTACAGATCAAATGCCAGAACAAATATATGTTACACTCACACACGCATACTGTCTATAAAGAATTTTTACAGAAGGTCGGTTATTAGAGTCTGAACTGTCTGGAAGCAGCATTTTAAAACATGCTTCCAACACTGGTACCTCACAGACTCCTCCTTTCAGCCAGATTTATAGACAATATCACATATATCCTTCATAACCAACCATAATGCATTACTTATTGAAAAAAAAAAATGTTTAAATGGTGTTGTTTTGAATGTATTACATTCAGTACAAAAAAAGTATTAAACAATATTTTTATTATACTATAATTTTATTTTAATTGCTTATTAAAATATACTTGCGTATGTTATGTAGTTTTTGCTAATTAGAGTATTGCACTGTTAGATTGGCAACATACTAACATCAGAATATAGGTTATAAATATATTTCATTAAATACTGAAATGTTTAAAAATTTGTTTGTTTAAAATAGACTAGTTCACCCAATATTTATGTATGCTATGCATTTGCTTTATAGTGTTGTGTGATTAGCTTAGCAATATGCTAGTGTTGAAACATTATAAATATATTTCATTCAATACTGAAATGTATTTAACATATACTATTTTACCCAATATTTATGTATGCTATGTATTTTTTGGCTTATTAGACTTTGTGTCATTAGCTTAGCAATATGTTAATATCAGAAATTATTAATATTATATATATATATA